CGAGGGACAGGCAGGGGACAGACACCCGGTGTCCCCCCAAGCCCCCCCTGTCCCTCCACATCCTCTCGTGTCCCCCTAAGCCCCCCATGCCCCCCCCCCGTGTCAACCCAAGCCCCCAAAGCCCCGCGATGTCCCCCCGTGTCCCCCCGAGGGGTCGAGGTTGGAGGGGGGGGGACACCCCCCAAGAAAGGGGAGGGCGTGTCCCCGGCCCCGCCCTCGCTCCCCATTGGCTGCGCTCGGCTGTCAATCAGCCCCGCCCCTATAAAAGTTGCGGGGTGGGGGGCGCGGGTCCCCCAAAGCGAGAGAGGCCGCGGCCCGGGAGGACATGAGCGAGGTGGGGGGGCTCGGGGGGGCCGGGGGGGGTCCGCCCAGGTCAGAAAAAAACAGACCGAGGGGGTTTCCCCCTTTTCCCACTGTTTTGAGCGTCTGGGAATGGGAATTGGGGCAGGATGCTGCGGCTGGAGGTTGGGGGGACCCGGGGACGGTGGGGGGGACCCCGGAGCTCGTGACTCACCCCCCCCGAGCCCCCCTCGGTCCCCAGAACAGCCCCCACGAGCCCCGCTCCGGCCGGAGGTTGGGGGGGACCGCGGGGGACAATGGGGGGGGACCTTGGGGACAGCGGAGCCCCCGTGTCACCCCCCGGCCCCCTTTCTCTCCGCAGCGCAGCCCCCATGACCCCCCCTCGACGGCGGAGGCCCCCGGCGGGCAAGAGGAAGGTGAGGACCCCCCGACACGCGTGGGGGGCGCCCCGCGGGGTGTCCTGTCACCCGTGTCACCGCTGTCCCCACCCGGGACCCCCCCCTGTCCCCAGAGCCCCCGTGGTCTGTGTCCAGCTAGTAAGGGGGGGGCGTGGGGGCACCGGGATGGATTTGGGGACCTGCTCTGTCCTTCCCTTGTCCCCGGGCTGGGGGGTGACCCTCTGGGAGGTGCCAGGCTGTCCCTGGAGGGTACCAGGCTGTCCCTTGAGGGGTGGCGATGTCCCTCCTGGATGTACCCGGCGGTCCCTGGGGTGACTCTGGGGGTACCAGGCTGTCCCTTGAGGGTGCCAGGCTGTCCCCTGGGGGGTGGCGATGTCCCCCCTGGATGTACCCCGCGCTCCCCGGGGTGACTCTGGGGGTGCCAGGCTGTCCCC